TGAGCTACAGAGCTCGACTCCTTATCAGCCAGAATATATATATTCATTCAGAAGAATTTAGAAGTGAAATAACTAATTATGTTAATTAAATATAATCTTAAATCTGTTTTAAAAATTAACAATCAATTTATATGCAGTATTTCAAACTTAGTAAATTAATGTAATTATATCTGTACTCTACAGCTCATTCTACTGCATTGATTATTTTAAATGATAAGAAAATATATATAAGATTAAATCATTATTTATTATCTTGGCTAGCTCATAATAACTGCTTTATGTTAGGATTTTGCATCTGTTTCAAACAGATAAGAGAGATTCTGCCCATTTTTAATTTCGGATACAGTATATACTTCTGTATTTTCCTATTTCTCAAAACCCATTCTAACTTATGAAGTAAAATCTACTTTGACTTTCTAGAAGGGTAAGAGTTTGATTTGTACAAGTCTAACAGCTTTTACTACTACATCTTTTAGCTTTATAGTTATTGTCCTTATAGGTATTAGATATATGTTTTATGTTGTAATTGTTTTCACAGTTTCTATATTATTACTTTATGTCAGTCTGATACCTAAATTAAGATTTAATTGTTATAAAAACTTGTAGCCACAAGAGGGCATTCCCTACACACATTACTATATCAAACACAGCTCTTCTATTTTTGTGGAAATGCTTAAATACTAGACTGGGATAGGGCTGTTCTAATAAAAATCCAGAGAACCATTAGATGACAGTAAAATATATATAAACTTGCTACAATCTATTAATTGTCAGATCTTTACAGCTTTATTAATAATATTACCTAAGACCAGCAACAAAGTAATTGCTTGAAATTGCTAGACAAGATTAAGGAAATAAAGGAGATGAGAGCTTTCCTTAGTCTCCCTTAACATTATAAATATGTTAGATTCATTGCTCAGAATGCTACTTATATAGTTTCAATGTAGATGGTGCTTTTAAAATTTTTGATATATTAGCTAAAAATCACAAAGGTTTGAAACATTTATCTGTTAGAAATGTTCAAATTAAAAAGAAAAGGCTTACCTTCATTTATTAAAGTTAATGGTGGAATCTTGAAAGGACTTTTTGTAGGAGAAGTAACTGGATCAGGGGGAGGCCTTACATCTCTCTCTCTAGGATAACCTGGATCTCTCTGAATTTCATTACTTCCAAGCAGCGTAGGGTTATAATGCGGATTATTAGGAATGTGATGAGGCACCACTGGAACTAGTGGCGGTGAACCATGTGCATCCTGCCGTGAGAATATTCGCAGACATTGTTCTTCCAAAAGTGTGATGATGACCGATTGATTATTTACAAGATCAGTTAGCGCTGCGTATTTTATTTCAAGCTCTCTGTACCTTGATGTCATCTTCAACATTTCAGTTGTAACATTGAGGATTTTGTTTTCCAGCTGGGAAAGTTCCAGTGAAT